TCTGTGCTGGTTTTTCTAGGGTGCCCTTATTATAATCAGGTTCCTTTCTTACTGGCAATTCTTTCCCTTTAGTAAAAGGGGCCCAATCCTTTTGTACCGCTTTTCCATCCACTGCTGTTTATTCCCTTTAGAACACTGAGGTTGGGTAAGATTAGTGACTTGCTGGGACAGTGCCATAGGCAGACTCCAAGGGGCCCCTGCAGCTTCTCTTGTTCTCCGCTTTTAACTCGACCTTCCCGTAAATAGTAGTATTTACTTCTACACTGAGTTAGTGTTGTAACATGCCCCACACTTCTGGGCTTCACTTTCCTCTACAGTGGCCAACTTTTTTTTTTCCTGATCCCAGGATTGTGGTTGAAGTTATAGGCCCCAACAAACTAAGTGGTTGAGGAAGAATCCAGTTAGGACACTGCTGAGGCAGTACTCCAAGAGACTGCTGCAGCTGGGCTTACTTTATACAATTGGTTCAAATCTTCAGTAAGCCTTTTCCTTCCTGTGTTGTATTGGTGTAAGTAGTGCTGCATTGTCATACCACTTTTTCTTTCATAGCCATTAAATTTCTTCTATCTCAATTTCTGGGGCTGGTTGGATTTATGGGCCTTTAGTCAGTAAAGAATTAGAGGGCCTCATTGGGGCACGACCAAGAGGAATCTTTGAAAGCTAGTATTGGAGGCTATTGCTATTATGTGGAATTCAGCTCTAGGCCAGAGTGGAAGGCTGTATGTGGGTAGGCAGTACTAGGTCCAAAAATGTAAATTATCCAGATTAACACAACAGCAAATAGAGATTTTAAACAATTCATTCTCAGAAAAAGAAATCAGAAAAGCCATAAATGAATTTTTTTTTTTTTTTTTTTGCTTTTTGGTGAGGCAGTTGGAGTTTAGTGACTTGCCCAGGGTCACACAGCTAGTAAGTGTCAAGTGTCTGAGACTGGATTTGAACTCAGGTTCTCCAGACTCCATAGCTCTTCTATCCATTACACTGCTTGGCTGCCCCCATAAATGAATTCTTAAAGGAAAAAACTGTACACCTAGATGAATTTACAAGTGCTTTCTATCAAATATTCAAAGAACAGTTAAATCTAATACTACATAAATAATTTTCAAAAATAGAGTAGACATCTTACCAAATATATTCTTAATAACTAAACTGAGAAGAGATAAAGCAGAGAAAGAAAATTATAGACCATTATCTTTAATGCATGCCAGTACAAAAAAAATTGAATAAAATATTAACAAATAGTCTATAGCAATATATTCAAATATTTTTTTCATGCTGACAAGTTAGATTTAGAACAGGATTGCAGGGTTGATTCAGAATTAGAACACTATAAATAAAATAGATCATATTAATATAAAAGTATTAAAAATAATGTGATTATAATTAGTAGATTCAGTGAATGTTTTTTTCTTATAAAATATAACACTGATTTATGTTAAAAACACTAGAAACCATAGGAATAAATGTACCTTTCCTTAGTATTGTAAATGCTATATGTTGACCGCCAAGAATTAATATTATATATTATCTAGAAACAGTAATGGCTTTCTAATAAATCAAGTAAAGTAAGATTTTCTGTTTTTATCTCATGATTATCAACATCTCTATAATATTAACCGAGAGGAAGAGATGGAAAAAAGAAATTCACTTCAAAGTGAGTAGAATTTTAAAGATATCTCTGATATCTGTGTAACTAGATACATTCAGTACTTACATGAAAACAAGTACGAAACACTTTGCCCCCAAGAAATAAAAGAAGACAAATAATTGGAGAAGCATTACTTTTTATGATTTGACTCTGTCATATGATAAAAATGATGATGCTACTAAAATTCATTTACAGATTTAGTGCCATCTCAGACTACCAATGGGTTATTTAGTAGAACTAGACAAAACAATAATAAAATTCATCTGGAAGAAGGTCAGGCATTTAAAGGAAAATGATGAAAATGGTAGGAATAAAGGGAATCTAGTAGTATCAAATCTCAAACTATACCATAAAGAAATAATCATTTAAATTATTTAGTACTTATTAAAAAAATAAAGAAGATCAGTATATACAGAGTAAAGGAGCTCTCCCACTGGGATTAAATAACTCAGTTTAACCAAGAGAGAAAGCCCGAGAGCTCACTGAAGGGGAAACTTCCCAAAGTCTCTAGTGTATGAAGCTGAAAATAGGTAAGTAATGGAGACTGCCAGCTCTTCTCATGTCTTCCCAGAGTCCTTTCCTTCAACAAGTGGGGTTCCTTCTCGAAGCTGGAAGTCAGAAGCACCCAAAGTTACTTCCTACTTGAAGAGTCCTGAAAAGAACTGAAGAAAGCTATGCATAGGCCAGAGTGTTCTTCATCAAGCAGGAGAAAGCCCCATACCAGTGGGCTTTGGGACAGGGGCTGCACATATACTCCTTTTAAAAACTCTGCAACAGAATTTCAGTTTCTCATACAGTCCCCTTTCTTGTTCCTCTTTGTATATTAAAATGTTTTTACTTCTTTGATAAGTTCACAATAAAAAAAGAAAATTAAAAAAAAAATAGGAGCTCTACTTTTCCTTAAATTGGGCTATTATAAAACCCACGTGTGACCTCTTATCATAGGATCACAGAACTGAAGCACAATGATCATCTGATCGAATCTTATTTTATGCATTTGCAGATCCAGGGAGGAGGTTAAGTGACTTGCCCAGAGTCACATGGGCAGCTAGCATAAGAGGAATGACCATGCTTTTAGACACAATGGAATTGGTCCTCAGAAGTATGAATAGTACCTTCACCTATCTCCGTACTTGCTGTAGCAGTCTATGGCAGATACTCCTGTTTATGTATTAAGGTAGTGGGAGCAAATCTTATCTGCATGGCTTTTTCTGAATTGACTCAGTCTCTGCCCTAAGTCTCTTAGATATAATAGGAATCTCAGTACAAAGCTCATTGGTTAACTTTCCCTTTTCTGAATCACTGAGGCTACAGGGGACAGCTTGGTGACGGGGATCAACCCCATTCTGTAACTCCCAAGAATTTCTACTTCATCTCCAGAGCTTATGCTCTGTCTGTCACATGTAGCTAGATAGCTGGCCCTAGGGTTACTACTTGAGTTACAGATATAGTAGAGCTCAATGTCACAGAAGAGTAGTATGGGCAGGGAGGTAGGGGTGAAGACCCCATGGAGTAGTGGAACTTTCAAATTGTTCAACTGAATGAGGATCTGACCTAAGAATGGAATGAGAGGGGTATAGTGAATGATGTTTGTATGTGTATGTATTAGCTTCTTCATGTGTATATGTGGGTGAGTAGGAACCCTCTTGAAGTTCTGGAGTCTGAGTCCTTATTGTCTTTGAACTGAAATTCTTTGGAGGCTGTACTTGAGTCTAGAGGGTGAAAAAAGTCTGTACTTTGAGGCTGAACTTAGATTTTGGCCCAAGCTGGGTGGCAGGGAGAGACAGTTGCCTTTGTACTTGGTGCTAAAGTGTCTGGAGAGGCATTTGGTCTTGGTGGAGCTGGTAAGGTGAAGCTAGCCTGAGGTTGCCATGGAAAGGATGAATGAAAGGTTGGGAAAATATCATCTCTTTTGTGTAGGGGATGATTTGGAGAGGAGATAGCTCACAAGACATTTCTTTCCCAAAATGTATTCCCTAGCTCTTAGAGTAACAAAGTTTGTATACTTAATCTAGATGTGAATTTTATGGGATCATGGCTTCAGGGGACAAATGGGCTGAACACCACTAGTAATGAATGACAGGAGTCTTCACTTGTACAATTATGAAATCAAATCAGACTTTGAGAGCTTTAAAAAATCGTGGGATTTGGGGGAATTCTCTATTCACTTGGATATACTTTATTAGCTTTTCTCTGTATTTTTTTATTTTCCTACTGTGTATTGGCTAGATATTACATATATATGCTTACAATTTGTATCAAATATAGTACCAGGTGATAGAATTTGTAAACCCAGACATTGTTAAGACTTAAAGGTCCAAAATGATAAATCAACCAGCAGATACATATTAAATGCCTACTATGTGCTAGACTGGAGATACAAAGATAAAATCAAAACAATCCCTGCTATCAAGAGAAGCTTAGAGTCTATCAAATAATAGAAGAGGAAGCTGGTAGTTACTATATAATATGTGATGCTAAATGATAGAATTGCTGAAGTTTTACATTTTTTTAATGTGAAGTCAGTATCCTGTGTTTTAATATAAGCTTACAAGTTTGGAATTTGAAAAAAAACTTCTTTATATTTGCAAGCTCAATTTCCCATATTTCTTTGCCATTTTAAATTTTATCATTTTCTAGGGTCTCTTGATTATTATGAAAACACACAGAGGTTTCTCTCAAGTAGCTCAGCATATTTTAATACAATAAATCTATGTTGTGAGAAGCGTCATGGCATGGTGGTTAGAAAGCTGACCTTGGAATCAAGATACTATGAGTTCAAACCTCTTTTGCTTACTTACCTGTGGGACCCTGGGAAAGTTATTTACTCTCCTTGGCCCTCAATTTCCTTATCTGTAAATCCTCTGATACTACTATTATTTTTGCCTTTTGGTATAGTCTTTTCTAAATAATATATGGTAAAATCAAGTGTATGGATTAATGACAGAGTATGTGAAGGTAATTTTGGGACTGGCTGCTTCTTCAGCTAGGAGTGAATAAATTAGATTGTGCAAAACTTAGCAAAGCCGTCTTCCCATCATCATCGTGTGATTAACTTCTGCAGAAAGAAATAGCAGAAAGCTGGTAGAATATATTGGCTTTTCACAGAGTGTCAGGAAATAGTGAAGTGAGGGGGAAGTAGCTGAGGTTACTCTCTACTATATTTCTTAGTCATAATAGCTAGGGATATTGGGATGCTCCTGTTGTAGCCTGTAAAATGTTTTGAAAATGTGTCAAGGAGATAAAAATGTTACTGTATTGTCAGAAGGTGGCAGCAGTCAGCCATTTGTTTTTCAAGGAACTGAACTGAATGACTAAAAAATAAACTTTGATGTGTCTTTTGTTTCTACAGGGATTTCAGTACCAGTGTTGATAACATTCACATTGATAAGACCCAGCCTCGGTGGCACAACTATTTCCTATGTGGATTTAAAGGAATCCAGGTAAATGATGTTAAATAAGGAACCTTCTATCACTTAAGAAGACAGAAATTATGTTTTATATGTTTTATTAAAATTCCTCATACTTTTGGTCATAAGGGGTGATTTTAGATTTCAAGGGCTAATTTTCTGCCTTTTCCTATTGTAAAGATCTTAATTGAGACCCTATGGCCTCAATAGAAGAGAGCTTGGGCAGTAGTGCCAGGAGTTTTAGCTTCTACTGGACTTTTTGGGGGTTGTTGTAGTGGGGAAGGACACCCCTAGCATCAAATGGGGTGGTCATTGAGGGTAGCTGTGGCCTTTTTTAGGGGGGACTATTTGTAAATTAGGGGTTTCCTGGATTGCAGTTATATATTTACAGGTCCAGACCAATGATTTCATTGGAACAGGGAGTTCTCATTGTGGGATCTCCTTCCACATAAATGAATGGGCTACCCCTGGTTACTTATAATCTTAGAGAGTTCCTTGAGAAATTGAGCAGTCAAATGACTTTCCCATGATCACTCACTAATGAGTCAGAGATGGAACTTGAACTCAGGTCTTCCTGACTTTAAAGATAAAAGCCAGATCAGATAGTAGAGAGAGTCTATCTATTCTGTCATACTACTTGGATTATGTAACATTGTTAAATGGTCCATATAGTTGTAATATAGACAGATGAGCTGGCAAACCATTCTTCTGGTTTTCATTTTTGTTAATGTTTTCATTTGAAAAGAGAGCCTTTCATTTATACTCTGTTTTAATGTGCTTATATAAATGTTCTGTATAAAAGCATTTTTGACTATATAGATTGGCTTTCACTAGTTTTTAAAGAAGCAATGGAGTTGTGTTATTCTAAATATTTTCCTAGAAACGTTACAGAGCTAGGTTGGATATCATTGGATTTGTGTCTTGAGAACAAGAAAGCAAAATGAAAATCATGGTTTCCTTGGGTGATGCAAGGCATTCAAATGGCAAGAGGTAGACAGGCAGCTTCCCTGCTGAGTATTAGTTTGTGTTTCAATAATAGTTTAAAATCTAGTACTGTAAGCAAGAGGTTGTAAGTAATGAATGTTGTTCTTGTGAATCTGCAAAAGCGTTTTTAAGAGCATGGTAACTGAGCTATTATTGTCCCATAGAACACATGTAGTGTCATGCAAGAGATCCAGACTGAAGCTTCAATGGCAAATCCATTACAGAAATGCATCAGATCCATCTCTGTTGCATTATACCATGCTCAATCGAGGAAGCCTTCTTTTTTTCATTATTTCTCAGGTCCAAGGAAATTTCTCATGTGAAGAATTCTTTGCCAGCATGAAATCTCTCCTCTCCATTGCCCATTGTAAGCAATCTAGATAGTAGTGGAAACTTAAGTATTTGAAGGAATGTATTTGCCTGGCAAGTGCAGCATGGTCTTATAACAGACTGCAGGGTGTTCTTTGCATTTTGGATAAAGTGCCGATTTGTGGGTGGAAGTGGGGGTGTGTGTTGGAGAGTCAGTTTTTGAGCTTTAGGTCTTAAAGACAGTCTCTCTCATTTGATGGCTCATATGCAAAAGCAGGTTTGTAGACAACTCCTGGCAGAAAATCTGCTTCAATGTGAGGCTGTTAGGAAACATTCAGATTTAAGTGCTAGGAGGGTCCAGAGGATAATCTGTTTATATTAAATTGAACATGTTATTCTTCTGGAATAGAGTTGTTGCAGAATTTGGCAAAACCCATTTTCATCTCTGAAACTGTAGTACATTTTTATTTAAACATTGCGTGATAAGTTTGTAAGCCTGATTCACCTTCAAGACACCCTGTGGATTGGTTTCTGGTTAAATCTTGAAGGGTTTTTTTTCTTTCTCACCCCTCCCCCCCATTCCCCTTTTTTTAGCAAGCTGTCTGATGTTCTGCATGAAAGGGTATTCACAGCAGCAGTGTTTCAGTTTATAATTTGTTTGTATTTCTGGAAAGGAGATTTTTAGATGATTTGAATTGAAAAAAAAAAAAAGGAAACCTAGCCAACTGAGTAACTGAGTATCTTTACTTATAGGCCACATGAGCTTTGCCCACTAATTTTAGGGAAAACTTTTAGGGTCTGTCCTTTGCAGAAAATAAAACATTTCTCTAGTTGTTATTTTAGCTTGTTTACAAAATCTCTCCCTGGCATGTTGCACATGATGATATGTCATGCAGTGGGGTTTCCCACTTGCATGACATTTTGTTTTTGCATATATTAAGTTATATTGACATTATAGTCCTGAAGAATAAGTGGCCTTATTATTATTTTAATTCTGTGTCACACAGAGAATAAGGAATTTTCTTGATGTTCCTCCCTAAGCCAGGTATAAAGGTAACTTTCAATCCCCAGAGTCCTAGCTCTCTAGTCTAGATCATAGTTCTAACCAGACTAGAACTTCCCAGGCCTGGCATAATGTAAACTCAAATGGGAAACAGTGGGATTAAGGTTCTAGTCCTAGATCTACCACTAATTGTTTATAGGATCTTGGGTACATCAGTTCATTGTCTTGGGTGTCAGTTATTCCATGTGTAAAAAGAGCAGGTAGAACTAGATGAGGGCCTTCCTAGATCTGAGGTTACATGATTCTTTATGTCCTGGTCCATAGAATTGGAGATCATATTCTTCTTTGAGGCTTTTCTGTCTCTTATGTATTTTCCTCATAACATGAGCCTGCATTTTCATTTGTGACTGTTGGCCAATTGGGGCTCCATTGAAAGCTACCATATGGCTCAATTGTATCTTTAAAATGCTAGTAAAAAATCTGAATTTCCTCATATGGCTGACTTACATTAAATCACAGTCACAGAACGCTGGCCCAGGGTTCTTACTAGGTTCTTATGAAGAATCAGAGACCTAGATCGGAGTCCTACTCCTGCTGTTTACTTGAAGTGTGATCCTGGGAAAGTCTCTTAATCTCTCTTGGTACCTTGATTTCTGCATTTGTCAAATAGAACTAATGATTCTTGGAGTTCTTTTCTGAAGAGGAACTTCTGATGGTTGGACCTCTAGGAATACCAGTTTGTATTCTGGGTAACTTTCTATGGTAGTAAAGGATTTACCATGGAAGAGAACTAATCCTTCTTTTGATTTGCATTAGTTTTTGCCTCAGCACCTGAGGCGAATAGACTTAATAATGATTTAGATTAGTTGACAGATATTTGGCAATGGACGACTGTTACATTTGATGAGGTATCACAAGGGCAGAACTATTAGTATCAATAGGAAGAAGTTTTAGAGAAGCAGATTTCAGCTCAATAGAATGAAAAGCTTCCTAACTCAGGGATTCTTAACCTTTTTTGTGTCATTCAACCTGGGTGAAGGAACGTGGGCCTGTGAACTGCTTCACAGAATAACATTTTCAAGGGGCAGCTAGGTGGCACGGTGGATAGAGCTCTAGCCTTGGAGTCAGGAGGACATAAGTTCAAATCTGGCCTCAGACACTTGGCACTAGCTGTGTGACCCTGGGCGAGTTACGTACCCCTGATTGCCTCGCCAAAAAAAAAAAAAAAAAAAAGATGTTTTTAAATGTATAAAATAAAGTGCACATGATTAAGACGGAAATCGGTTATTTTGAAATAGTTATTTAAAAAAATTTTTTAAACCATTTCATGGGACCCCAGGTTAAAAATCCCTGTTTTTGTCAAATTGTCCACAAGTGGAATGAACTGCCTCTTGACACAAGCTTGACAATTATATATATAATTTCAGTTAAGCCTTGCAATAGCCCTCTGAGATATGTAGCATGAGCATTATTGTCTCCATTTGATAGGTGAAGAAACAGGCCCAGAGATCATGTTCTATAACTTGCTAATGTTTGTAGCACTAATAAATGCTGGAGGTGATATTTGAACCCAGATCTTTCTGACCTTGATTACTTTTTGGAGGGTGAGGTCCCATGGGGTAGGGATAGAAATGGAATGTTAGGGATTGTAGAGAGGATTCCTGTTCAGATATGAGTTGGACTACATGGCCTAAGAAGTTCCTTCTAATCCTGAGAATCCGTGATAATATGAAAAAAACAAAGAACCCCCTCCAACATTTTAAAAACCATGATCTCTTTTTATTCACCATAGTAACCTTGATTGAATAAAGCGAAAGGTAATTTGACCCTGCACATACTAAGAATGAAGAACCATGACAGTTATGTCATGGGTCATTTCTGATAGATCAGACGACACTGAGCAGTGTTTCTAAATAGTATGAAAATTGCCTTGTTAAAATTGTGCTCCCTGGGCCTCCTTGGATTTCATGGGTTTTTTTTTTTTTTAAATCCTCCTGTTACTAGGAACATTTCAACCTCATGAACCCGACTGGAATGAATTGCCTGTTGGATGGAATCATCCCCCCAAGTTCTGGCCTCTCCAGTTCCAGTGCCCTGGTGTGTTGTGCTGGGCTTGTGACACTGAAAGCTAACAGGCTAAGCCTCTCCAAGGTGATTTATCAAGAAACAACATTTTCTCTCAAGTCTTTCTTGTGCCTCTCTGTCTAAATCCATCAACATTTGAATCCCTGGGCCAGGATGCAGTGCTTTGACTGAAAAGCTGTGATTGGCCTAAAAGGATTGTATCTTTGGGGAAGTCTTTTCATTTAACGGGTTCTGTTTCCTATAAACCAGTCCTAAGGTAGCCGTTACCTCCTCCCTCCCTCCTTCCCTTGTCCCCCACCAGAGGAGCAGCATATCTGTGATTAAGTGTATTAAGATGCTCTTGGATTAAGTGTGGGGTGACTGCATTGGCAGTCCTTCCTATCACCTCATTAACAAGTTAAATTTAGAGTAAGAAATTTCAGGCCTCATAACAGTGCCTGCTTAGTTTCAACCATAACCTTAAATTAAGCACTTGACTGAGCAGTGTTTAAGAAGAATAAAGACCAGTAAGGGGACCGAACAGTGTGTATGTTTATGTCAGCAGGTTAGTCAGTGTAATAAAATTTTTTTTTCCTGTTAACATTGCATTATAAAGAGGAAATGCTTATTTGAGGAATATATAAATCCAACAAGAGGTCAAAAAGGCTGCATTTTACTAGTTCACATAAATCTCTGGCTTCACAGCTCAGAGCAGGTGTGTTCCATTTTAATTAATGCTTTGGGACTCTGGTTCAAATAAAACCTTACCATAGCGCCTTTTTGCCTGATGTGGATGCCAGGGAACAGGGTATGTAGTTTGGAAGCACACACCTGTATCAGGTCAGACCTGGGAGGAGAGTGTTAACCAGGTGCTTTAGGCTGTTTTCATCTTGTTTGAAAGTTTTTGGTAAGGAAACTGGATATACGGGATGGAAAAGAATGAGTAAGAGAGAAAAGAGTCTGAGTTAGGCTTCATATGTCCAGTTGACATCCATTAGTCTAATTGGTTCTGAGGAACCTAAAACTGAATCTGAACAGCCTGTCTCAGAAACCAGCAGGTTTTGGGATTGAGGTGAAATGATTACTTTCGGGCCTATTTTTATTTTTTAATTTTTTTAAAATCATGGTGATGTGGGAAGAGTAATATGGAGAGGGGGAAGCACTGCGTATGAAAAATGTTTTGTCTTCAGGTCCTGTTTTTCAGTCTGATTATTCAGTCCACTGAATAATAATTAAGCTCTTTTGAGGACCACTGATATCAAGGATATTTAGTCAGAAACAAGTAATGGATACTTTAACCTCGTGAAAGTAAACCTGGCTTATAATGGATAGAGCTAGCTCCCTTTTATCAGAGCTATCTGCTAATCATGCCTAGAGATTTTTGTATTTCTGTCCTACACATATGATCCTGAGGGCAACCTTTGGGTATTTGTGTACCATATTTAGTTCTGGATATTATAATTTAAGAGGGACAATGTGGAGCTTGTCCAGAAAAGGTTGAATAGAATGGGTAGTGATTGGTCTTAAAGGTTGATGGGATTGGTTATTTTTAACTTGAGGAAGAGGATATTTAGAAGGGAGATGATTGCTAATTTAAAATACTATTTACATTTAAATTTAAAAGGCTAGTTAAAAATTGAAAATCTGTGACATGGATGGCTAATTAGATTTATTCTAATTATGCAACTCGGTGGCATAATGGATACAATACTGGACTTTGAGTTAGAAAAACCAGAGTTCAAATCCTGCCTTATATACTTACTGAGTTGTGTGACACTGGACAAATCATTTAGCTTTCTCAGTCTCAGTTTCCTCATCTGTAAAATGGGAATAATAATAGCACTTATCTCACAGGGGTGTTGTGGGGATGAAAGGAGATAACATACATAAAGTGTTTTATAAACTTTAAAATGTTATATGAATGCTGGCTACTATACTTAGCCAAAACTACTACTATTACTACTATTGATAATAATAATGATACTAATTCTAGTTAATACCAGAGGACAAAACTAGAACTGGTATGAAATATCAAAACAGGGTTTGGCTCAATATAAGGAAGAACTTTTTTTTTAACAATCAAAGTTCCCCAAAAATGGAATGGGCTGCCCCATGGGGTAGAAGTTCACCGTCATTGTAACTGTTCAAGCCATCTGACAGACATATCATAGAGAGGGCTATATGCAGGTTCAGGAGCTTGACCTAGATTATCTCCAGGCTGTCTCCCAAATTCAAATCTTATTGAATTGGAATCTTGTCATATAATTCCTGGTCAGGCATGAGTTAGAGTAGGTGACCTTCCCTCCAGAAGTACTGCAGAATTTAGCTTTAACATTGTTTCAAGTCGGGAAATAGTCAGGAAGAATGAGCAAAGGTAGAATCCCACCTTAAAGAGGTGTTATGGTGTGACAGGGACGCTTCAGATGAACCCAGAAGAAGAGAATGACTCCAAAATATCTACAAGCAAAGCCTCAGAGAAAACATAGCCCAAACACAGATTCAACTAGAATTCTTGGAAGATATGAAGCAAAAGTTAAAATGTTTTTATAAATGAAATGAGAGCATTTGAGGAAAAAATTAGAAGGAATTGGAAAGAGAATCAACAGCTTAGCACAAATGGTACAAAACCTTGCCTAAGCAACAAACTCCCTGAAAATTAGAATGGATCAAAAAGAAACCAGTGACTCTATGAGACAACAAGAAACATTAAAACAAAGTCATAAGACTGAGATAAATTGAATAAAATGTAAGGTATCTCATAGCAAAAACAACTGACTTGGAAAACAGATTGAAGAGGGAAAAAAATCATTATACTTCCTGAATACCATGATTGAAAAAAAAAAAAAAGAACCTTGATACCATGTTTTAAGAAAATTTAAAACTGTTCACATCTCTTAGCTCCAAAGGGCAAAGTTGAAAGAAGTCACCAGTCACTTCTTATAAGCAAACTCAAAATGAAAGCTCCTAGGAATATTATAAATCCAGCCAAAATTCAGAGCTTCTGGTTCAAAGGAAAAATTACTTCAAGAAGCCAGAAAGAAATAATTTAAGTACTGGGGAGCCACAGTCAGTATCACACACAATTTAGCAGTCACCACTATGCAGGGGCCAAGAGCTTGGAATATGGTATTCAAGAAGGCAAAGGATATAGGCTTTTATAGCCAACAACAACTTAGTCAGCAAAACTGAGTGTAAAGCTACGTGGAAAAAAAAAAGGCTTTCATGAAGTAGAGGATTTCTAAGCATTGCTGATGAAAGAAGCAGAGAGCTATGTAGAAACTTAGAATTTCTTTTTTTTTTTAAATTAATTTGTTTTTAGTTTTCAACATTCATTTTTCTAAGATTTTGAGTTCTAAAATTTCCCCCTCCCTGCTTTGATCTGCATTCAGACTCCGTAGTTCTTTCTGTGAATGTGGATAGCATTTTCCATCATCAGTCTTTTGGAATTGTCTTGAATCATTGTGTTGCTAAGAAGAGCTAAGTGTATCAGAGTTGGTCAAAGCACAATGTTGCTGTGTACAATGTTCTCCTGGCTCTGCTTATTTCACTCGGCATCAGTTCATGTAAGTCTTCCCAGGTTTTTCTGAAATCTGCCTGCTCATCATTTCTTATGGAACAGTAATATTCCATTACATTCATATACCGTAACTTGTTCAGCCATTCTCCAATTGATGAGAAACTTTGAATTTCAAACACGGGAGTTAAGAGGCACATAAAAAAGTAAACATATGTGAACACGTGTGATAAGGGACTAAACAAGAATACCCACTAGAGTACAGAGTGAGATATATTTGCTTGCATTCAAATATGGAGAGGTCATTGAAAGAGTCTAGACAAGGCCTCGAAGTGGTTCTGTTATGTCTCAATCTGAAGAGAAGAATGGAAAAAAAAGAGATATATGGTAAGGGGAGAAGGGAAAGGAAGGTTAGGGAATATTATCTCATATAATCAGGGTGTGCAAATAGAAGAAGGACAAAGAAGGGGGAGGGGATAGAGGTAGCAGTTGACATTTGAACTCTCATCTGAACTAGTTACAGGAGGGAAGAATACACACACACACACAGAGTTGGGCACAGAAATAGATTTGAACAGGGTAATACAAGGGGAGAAGATAGAAGGGAGAATTAGAGGGAGGATAGATTAAGATATCCTTAGTCTTAATTAAAACAAACTCTGATGCACAAAAATATTTATGGCTCTCTTTGAGGTGGTAAGAATATTTGCCAAGAAAAAATACCATTGTGCTATTAAGAAATGATGACAGGAAGATTTCAGAGAAACCTGGGAATACTTGTATGAATTGATGCAGAGTGAAGTGAGCAAAACCAGGAGAATGAGTTATACAAGGACCACAGTTTGGTTAAGACAGACAACTGAAATAATCATCATATTGACCAACCAGGACTCCAGAAGACTAATGATGAAACATGCTACCCACTATAGTACAGAATGAGATATATGTATTTTTTGGACATGACCAATACAGAGATTTGTTTTGCTAGACTATACATGGTTGTAACGGGGGTTTAGTTTTTCCTTTGTTCTCACTGGAGGGAAGGAGGGAGGGGCTGCAATGTGAGGGTAAGAAGGTGGATTTCTTCTAATTGGAAAATAAAATATAATTTAAAAAAAAAGAAATTACCATCTGTGAGCCTAAGGAGTGTCCAGTCTGAGTTTCTCATTCATGGTTTCTTCACAAGCATGGCTCATAGTGCTCTGGGGACTGAAAAGAGTACATACTCAATCCCTGGCCTTAAGGAATTACAGTCTACCAAGAGAGATATTCATATTTTATTTAGTAAACAAGAATGATGACTATTGATAATAGTTCATTTTGAGATAGGGCTTTAGAGTTTATAGAGTATGTTCCTCACAATAATTCTGTGACGTTGGGTAGTGTAAGTATTCCAATAACTCATCGCACCAAATACTCCAGTATGGCTGTGATCATCACAGTAAAGTGTCATCACAGTAATGTGAGCATTCCCTTGATATGTAATAATGGATCTCCCAGCCTATGCATGCCTAAACATCCTGTGTTACTTTTTGCCCATATCTTCTCACAGATTCATCCCAGGGCATCCACA